TTCCCCGAAATATTCTGGGGAGTTCTGATAGGGAAGAAACAGCATTAGCAGGTGTCACAATGACTTCCTTTACAATAAGCATCCGAGGTCACAGCACTAAGTCCTGTAGGGTAGGGGAACACACTCAGAGGCACGCTGAGATATAAGCCAGATCTTTGCCGAGAGCAACCGAGATGAGAGAAAAAGAGAAAGCAGTGTCAATTTGCTGGAAACCTGGGCAGGGTGAGAGGAGCAAGCCCAGGGCTGGAGAGGCTGGGCTGCGGAGTGCACTTCCGGGAGAAAGTCAGTTTTTCCCACTGGAAGCACCCTGAGTAGGGGGAGTTGTTTGCTGAATTACACAAATCCAATGGTCTTCACTATCACCTTTTCTCAAGAACGTGTGCCTGGAGTGTGGGCATGGGGCAGTGAGTGGGCTGTTCCCTGGGGAGGACACACAAGGACACACAAGCCGCACAAGGACCATGGCCTTTGGGCTGGATGCCAAGGTCATGTGCTTCTACTGGTGTGCTGTGAAAGTCTAATTTTATGGGCCCAGCGCAGTGGTGAGTGGTTAAGGTCCTTGCCTTGCACGCCCGGGATCCCATATGAGCGCTGGTTCTAATCCTGGTAGCCCCGCTTCCCATCCAGCTCCCCACTTGTGTCCTGGGAAAGCAGTCGAGGACGGCCCAAAACCCTGGGACCCTGCACCCGCGTGGGAGACCGGAAGAAGTTCCTGGTTCCCGGCTTCGGATCGGCTCAGCACCAGCTGTTGCGGCTCACTTGGGGAGTGAATCATCGGACGGAAGATCTTCCTCTCTGTGTCTCCTCTCTGTATATCCGCCTTTCCAATAAAAATAAAATAAGTCTTAAAAAAAAAAGTCTAATTTTATGAAGGGCTGGTGGTAGCGGATGGAAGGAGCGTCTACTTTTTTCTCATATCTTCCTTGACAGACATACATGTTGGCTCACCGCACTTACTGAAATGGCCCTTGTTTCCAAAAATTCTTCATTTCTCAAACCCCAAATTTGATCCCGGAGGAAAACTGAGATGGTTATTCAGAGGCAAGGGGTTATTGATCCAACATGACTGACTTCCAGGTGTGTTGACTTGGAGAGTTTACCCCAGCTGGAAAAGTCACCAGACGACTAACCTAGGAGAGTGAGGTCTGGGGTGGTGGGCCAGCAGGGCTGCCCGGGTCAGGGGAAGAGAGCTGGGAAGATGGGTTTTCACTCTTTATAGGGTTGGAGGGTGAGGCCTGGCCTGAGGTCCCAGGAAACCACTCAGAGGGCAGTTTGGATCCGGGGTTCTCTTAAGTTTGTAATCACAGAACTAAACGCTATTTAAAGATCTCAGCTATGATCTTGCCTGTCACTGCAAGGTTGTGAGGGTGCCTCAGTTTACCTCTCTGGGCCTCACTTTCTGTGTCTGCCGTGCACTTGAAAAGGACAGCATTTCAGTAATGCTTATCTGTGCCAGGCAACAATAATGGTGTGAGAAGAGATGTCATTATTTTTCCCACTTAGGTGATTTGCCCAAAGCTCCCACTAGGGGTTAGTGCTGTAACCGGGACCTGAATACCTACCAGACTCACATCATGCAACTTTCACTTGTTTGCTTAAGATTTGTTTATTTATTTGGAAGGTAAAGCACTCCCATCTGTATATTTACTCTTCTAGGCAGTGGCAATAGCTAGAACTTGGCCAGGTCAAATCCAGGACCCTGGACCTCCATCCAGGTCTTCTAATAAGGAGGGCAGAGGCCCAAACACCTGTGCCATGGTACACTCTCCCAAGCAGCATTAGCAAAGAGCTGGATTGGAAGCTGAGTAGCTGGAGCCAGTAGGCCAGGTGGCAATTTACCCTGATATGCCCCTCATCATGTCCCTTTATTTATTTGAAACATATTTTTTGAAAGGCAGAATTCTCCCCCCGCCCACACAGACATACACAGAATCTTGTATCCGTTAGTTCACTCCCCAAATGGACCTTCAGGCCAGGGCTGAGCCGGGCCAAAGCCAGGATCCTGGAACTTCATCCTGGAGTCCCACCCAGGTGATCATCTGTACTGCATGCCAGCAGGGAGCTGGATCAGAAATGAAACAGCCAGAACTCAAACCAGCTCTCTGCTATGGGATGCTAGGGTCACAAGTAATGGGTGGATGAGCCTACCATGCCACCATGTTGGCTTAATGCCTTTTTAAAAGATTTACTTTCACACATTCTATCTTACATTAACCTATACATTCTATCAACCTGGGGATGCAAGAATGAGTTGCCATTCCTTTTTCTTCAGCAAAATGCCCGTTAAGACAGTGAGCAGCACTGAGTATCCCTCAAGGCCAGGTTTTGGTCAAGAGACGCTGAAAAAGGATGCTGAGTCACAATTCTACATCATCTTCCAATCAAGTCTGGGTGATTTATATTATTAGGAGCTGTCCTAGAAATCCCAACCACTGGCTTTTCTGATACTCCTTGCCTTCCTCTAAAACAGTCTTAGAGAAGGAGTGATGGCGAGTGAGTGCGTGGGGACAGCCTGCCCTTGACATAGCCCCACTGACACCTCCTGTGATGTCCTGGGGTGTCCCAGCACCCCCTGAGCATCCCCATGCTCCCTCTTCTGAATCTCAGTCCTTTTGGTTCTCAGGGGTCACAACCAGCTGTGGGGTGAAACCCAGCTTTGCACTAAGTACCATGAGAGTGACCCACAAACTCAACTTCAGGACTTGTAAAGCACAGCAGCAAATGAGAAATGTCAAAGCACTTTTCTAGCAAATTTCAAGTTCATTAGTAGGCAGTTTCCTTAGCACACACAAGGGAGGATTTACACAAGCCTCAGTGGTCATTTTAGAGTAGGTTTGTACCCTGTTGGTGACGTTTGTAGGACACGCGGGCTTTCAATGAAATGAACACGTGACACTAAAGTATGTTCACAGCATAGCATGTGAGGCTTCCATTCACAGTGCAATGGTAGGCATCCAGCTGCGGTGGTCAGCATTCCCATCTCCGTAGGCGCCTCTCTTCTTGGGGGTGCAAATGTCTGGACTCCTGTCTTACAGTTCTTCATAATTTTGCAAAAAGTCACTATACACTGAGGTCCCCACTGTGCTGTGGCACACCAGAGCTCAGCCATCTTGTCTACCTGGACTTTGAGACCTCTTACTCAACTCCTTCTCTCCCTCATCCTAGCCCCTGGTGGCCCCTATTCCACTCTCTACTTGGAAATCACCTGCTCTTGAGCTGGCTGCATGCACCTGATGCTGGGGCGCCGAGGGTGGCACAACTGGTCCTTGGAGGTTGGTTGCCAGAGGAGATGAGCATCAGTAGTCGTCTCCCTGCCCGCCCTGACCTCTGCCCTTGGTTGAGCACTCCACCCCTGCACTGACTTCCCAGGCAGCATCTGAAAGCCTGTGCCTGCAGCCAGCCTGGCCTGACCTCCTGCCCTCTGTCTTGCCTCTGCTGTGCCGTGTGTGTATTGCGAAGGCTTTGCATATAGCACTGTGCTCTGGAACTGCTGGTGCCTTGGCATGCCCACGGCATGTCCCACCCAGAAACTGGGCTACTGCTGGGGATGCAGGAGGTACAGCAGTCAAGGGAAGAACCCTCCTGCAGGGATGGACCTGCAGGGATGGCTTAGCTGCCAGGGTGCCCTGAGGTCCTCGTGAGAGGTCAGGCAGATGCTGCTGCCTCCTCTTGGGCTTTGCCTGCTCCCCTCTCCCTCCTAAAGACAGAGGCTTGGCATTCTGTTACAGCGGCAGCCATTGGGTGGAGCCAGCAGCTTCTCCTTGGAGCTCTTGGCTCCTTTGATAACTTGCTCACCCCCTCACACACACCTTCAGCCTCTTCTCCAACTCACAGCCTCCCGCACATGCAATCTCACACCACACCACAGTGAATGGCATCCAGATCCGCCAGGGCTGTCCTGAGCCCCTGCCTCCCACCCCTTGTCCTGCCCACCCCTGCTCTTGACCTTGGAATCCCAGCATCCCCCTCCAGCTGCCTGGCCTGAGGTGTCCCGTGGAACCTCCAGCAGACGAACACGGTAACTGCTCATTGCACTGGAAGGGAACCCACACTCCTCTCTGTGGCCCTCTGCCCTCTGAGGGTCTCCTCTTGTTGCTCTCCTCCTCGCCATTGGGCTTCTCTCAGATCGGCCTGGCAACACTGGACACGCCAAACCCTTCAATGATGAACTCACCAGAAAAGGCTCAGCCAACCACACAAAGACTCGACCTGTGTTCACCACCCAGCTCCCTGGCTTGTCTGAAACGTCCCCCATTCCCATGTTAAATGCTGGCATTTAATGCTGCTCAAGCGTGGGTTTTTAAGAGTTTGTAGAAATACATAAAGTGACTCATGTCTTGCTGTCGGAAGAATTACAGAAAAACCAACCACAAAAAGTTTTTGTTAGCTAAACATTCAACACATCTACAACTTCTTGAGTATTCAATATTTTTTTGGGGGGGGGGATAATTCTTTTCTAATAGCAAGAAAATAGGCCTAAAAATAGCAGAAAGAAAACAGGAAAGTGTCAAACCTAGCACTAGCATCCTTATTTCTTTTCATTATACTTCTAAATAAATTATTTACTTATATTCATTATCATCTATCTTCAAGATTCTAGTTACCCCTCACAAGTCTAGGACAACCACATAACTTTAGTTAGGAACCCTGGCTCTGAAGGGAAATACTGTTATTTACTTTAAAATGTAACATGGGGATATCTGATCACAAATTTAACTTAGTTAAATTCCAACTTAGTTGGAAAGCAGCGAATGGTCAGAAAACAACTATCAGGCCAAATGGAATGAAACCATTTGTAGCTCATCCCCAAAGCACTGACTCCTATCAGGTTGCCAGTCTTCCATCTACTAAGAGTGCCTCTTGTAAAACTTCGATTCGTAGAGCTAAGGGTGAATTTCTTGTTCCTTGCATTCAGGCGACTTCTGGAACACTGGCTGGGCAGCAGAACTGCCATGAACCTAATCAGAGCAGGACAGCAAGACGTGCGGGAACTGACTTACTATTGTGCGCAGTCGATCAGCTGGTACTCGTTGGACCTCTCAAAGCACGCCTTCACGCCCTCATCGTCCCAGAGTTTCTTCACGTGATCGAAGAACTCCTAAGGTTTGAAAGAGTTACAGATGAGAACATACAAGTGCGACAATCCATTACAAAGCTAAAAGCAAAACGTCTGAAAAAAATATTTTGTAATACACATGACTTTCCACGTGCAAATCCACACACAACAAGGCCTGCACGCCTTGCCTTCCGGGCGATGACAATGGATGCATACGTGCTATGATCACTTAAAACCAATTGCAAAGCATTGCTGCCATTCTAGAAAGTTGCCCAAAAGGGAGATTACAAGTCAAAAGTCAATGTCACCCATTAACTAGAGAGACAAGAAACAGCACACTTTGGAAGTTCCTGGTATGCAGTTATTAACTGGCACCCTGGCAAGGAGACAGCACGCTTGTTACCGTGTCAGATTCAGTCATAACTGCTGTCTTCTAGGTTTGTGATGAGGAGCCATGATTAAGTACAAACACAATTTAAAAAAAGAAAAGATGGATTAATTTGACCCAGATGTGCATCAGCTATGTGAAAACAGAATGTTTAAGATAATGTGTTTTGGAAATAATCATTTCTTTGGTGGCAAGTTTAAGAGATGAGAGTGAATGTGTGTGTGTGTGTGAACTGTCATGTTTGTTCCCTCAAGTCACAAGGTTGCTATGCTTGATCTCAGCCGTTGTGGCAAGCAGGTGCCCTGAAAGAAGAACTTTCCTATTGCAAATAAAAGGCGAGCCTAAGAATCCATATGCATAAATCTATCCAAACTGAATTAACAACGGCAGGGAAGCCAATGCCTACGTGAGTTAAGAAGCTGTGTAAAGGTTCACCAGACACCTTGTTGGAAATTGCACACCTGCCTCACCCATCATCTCCCCCTGTGGCCTGCAGGCAGGGACTGGACGTCACGTGGTCAGTGGACAGCTGTACTGCTGCCTCATTCAGCCACATTTCCTAAGAATCAGCAAAGATTCCCGAGTTTTAAAAAAAGCGTGGTGGAAGAGGGGCTGGCACTCTTTTAGAGAGATTCATGATTTCAAGTTTGATCTTACACTCAGGGAGAAACTTTTTGAAAACAAAATAAAAATTAAGATAAAACTTGCCACCCAAACTCTTGGAAAGGGAAGTGCCCTGAGCTTGAGTGTTACTAGCTGTGTTACTAGCTTGTGGTAATCACGGGGCCAATCTGTTGAGGTCTGCTGTGTGTCTCTGCATCCATGTGCCACCCTCTTCCTCTTCAAACCCAGCTGGGGCAGGTGCAGTGATGCAGAGAGTTAAGCTGCCACGTGGAACGCCTGCATCCCATCCAGGAGCATCAGTTCCAGTCCAGCTGCTCCACTTTGATCCCATTCCCTGCTACTGTGCCTGGGCAGCAGCAGAAGATGGCTCAAGAACGCAGGCCCCTGCCATGCTCAGGGGAGACTCAGATACAGTTCCTGGCTTTGGTCTGGCCTGGGCCCTGCCTGTTGTAGGGGGACCGGGAGAAAGTGAACCAACGGATGAAGGATGGAAGATAATCTCTCTCTCTCTTTTGTTTATTATCCAAATAAAGACTAAATACACAATTCAAACCGCCACAGTTGACAACAGAAGGCCCATCCCCACCCAAAGGAGAATGGCCACACCCCTCAGATGTTATTCTGTCTCCCTAGATTTTCATTTCCTCTGGAAACTTTCCCAAGAATTCATATATATCCTTGGTTTTTCTTCTACATGCCTCTGAAGACACATACCCCATTACACTGTTATTGTGAGGGATGTTGGAAGAGAAACAGGCATCTGCCTATGGCCCGCTTTGGGCTATCTGAATTCTCTATGATGAATGTATACGGTATAAATTTCACCACATTTACTCAAATATGAGCATCACTCCCACCACCATGGTATGAAACACCATGTAAGAATTATCACCTATAACAGGGATCCAAGTGGCAATGTTCAAAAAGATCAACATAAAATTGATCAATAAAAATAAGATAAAAACTGAACCTTTGTTTCTGGTTTGTAAAAATTAGGAGAGTGGCCTGAGAAAGCAGTGGTGGATGGCCCAAGGCATCAGACCCCTGCATTCAAATGGGAGACCCAGAGGAAGCTCCTGTTTTTCAGTTTCAGATTGACCCAATTCTGGCCATTGCAGCCATCTGGGGAGTGAAATGGCAGATGAAAGATCTTTCTCTCTGTTTCTCTCGCTCTCTCTCTCTGATTTTTCAAGTAAGATAAACACATCTTTTTTAAACAATTAAGAGAGTAGATGTTTAGTGGCGTGCATAAGTTCAAGACACCAGCGTCCCATATCAGTGCTAGATGGGGTTCCCAGCTCTCAGCTCCCCAATCCTGAGGGCTCTGGGGGAACTGAACTGGTGGACAGGAGTTCTGTCTCTCTCTGTTTCTCTCTCTCTCTGCCTTTCAAAACAAACAAACCAAGACAGGAAAGCACACTGGGGCATAGACCTTTAGAGAGTCTTCAGTGGCTTGTGTGTCCCAAGCCACGTGTGCGTCAGGTAGCCGTGGAGGAGATGCTGCTAGAGCTGACCCAGGGACTGAGCACAGTGGTGAGGCCGAGGCTGAAGGCAGCTGAGTCCCCACTGCCTGCCAGGGATCCCGCCCCCCGTGACCTGGTGTCATGCCCACCCTCAGACACAATAAGGACCTTCATGATGAAAATAATTATGATCCATTAGCTTTTCTGTAATTGCTAAGACCACAGCCTCCTGTGATTAAGCGTATTTCTTAAATATTTTTATGTCTTTGATGTTAAATGTTCTGCTCTCCAGCTTTTTCCTGGATGTTGTCAAAACCACAGTTTATGCAATTACTTTAGTAGATTCACTCTGAACAGGACGGTTGAAGCTTCAGGGATCTAGCAACAGGGGCAGGCTAGCGCAGCCCAGCGGAGCTTGGGAGGACTCCTGGGGCAGGAGGGCTCATTATTATTTCCCAATTCAAAACTGTGTTGCCAAGAGTCTTAGTGTGAGGGAAGCTTCCCAGATAAGCCCCAGTCTCCAGACCAGAAGAGGAGCCAATGGCAAGGTCTGGGACTGCTCCCTCGGGGAGAATTTTCAAGCCAGAGGCATTGAAGCAGATCCCTGAGGACTGCCGCAACTGAGGGTAGACACATCAGTTCCGGTGTGTGTGTGTGTGTGTGTGTGTGTGTGTGTGTGTGTGTGTGTGTGGAGAAGGGATGCAGTGTCTGCTTTTCAAGGGGCTCAAGCTCCACGGAAGACACCAGGATGCTGCAGCTGTTGTTGCAGGGACTCCCCAAGTCACCAGGGACAATTTCAAACTTAACACAGTCGAGAGAATGGATCCAGTGGCACCATCTGTGCAGCCTCCACATTCATCAACACATATTGATTTTCTTTCATCTACATCTCATCCCCTTCTACTATACCTTTACTATTTTAAAGCACATCTTCCGTCATGTCATTTTTAATTTGATATTATTTCTAAGACAAAGACTAAGAAAAAGCCATTAATGCCACTATCCCAATTAAAAAAAATATATGTATACAAATAGAAAAAAGGACTCCAATAAAACGACTAAATATTGGGTCATCCGTAAAGGTTTTTTTTTTTTTTGATGTTGTTGTTATGATTAGATATTTGCTCAAAGCTAGGCTAGTATTAAAAATATGTTGCCTTGGTGCCGGGTCCATGGAGTTGCAGTCCCTGTTTTTAGCTATGGTGCTGGCATCTCATACGGGCACCGGTTCGGATCCTGGCTGCTCCACTTCCAACCCCGCTCCCTGATAATGTGCTTGGGAAAGCAGTGGAAGACCCCTGCACCCATGTGAGAATCCCGGAAGAAGCTCCTGGCGCCCATCTTTGGGTAGGCCAAGCTGTGGCTATGGCAGCCATCTGGGCCAGTGGATGGAAGATCTCTGTCTTTTCTTCTTTGTTGTAACTCTGACTTTCAAATAAAAATAAATCGGGGGGTGGAGGGGTTCAGTGCCATGGCTCAACAGGATAATTCTTCACTTGCAAGCGCTGACATTCCATATGGGTGTTGCTTCCTGTCCTGGCTGCTCCACATCCAATCCAGTTTCCTGTATCCATGTGGGAGACTCGGAAGAGGCTCCTAACTCCTGATTTTAGATCAGCTCAGCCCCTGCTGTTGTTGCCATTTGGGGGGGTGAACCAGTGGATGGAATATCTTTGTCTCTGTCTCTTGTTCTCTCTGTAGATCTGACTTTCCAATAAAAATAAGTAAATATTAAATAAAAACACATATTTAAAAACTAAGTCAAAATATGCCACTTCCAAATATGCCGCATTGGCATACTGATGGTTTTGAGCTGAAAGAGCAGCTAAGAAAAGCAAATGCAAGAACTTTCCGCCCTCCCTGTTTTTACCTAAAAGAAGGACGGAGTCTCCTTTCTCCTGCCCTAATGGCATTTGGTGAGCGACTCTTTTCACCTGAGAAACACAGCAAGATGAGGATGAATCCGCAAACCTCACTCAAACAGCCTTTGTCTCCCGTTAGTTCTAGTTCCCGCTCGCTCTCAAAGTTTATCACGCTTTGTTAAAATAGTGTACAAAGCTCTGAGACTAACTACTTTTTTACTTTTAGGAAGACTTCAAAATAGTGGGAAGATTGGTATGTATTTCTTGTGCTGACCTGGCTTCCATCAGTAATTCACAGGCTCCACCTCATTTAAGAGGGTCGAGGGAAATTCTTCTTTCCCCATTTAATTTTCATGCATGTTTTTTTTTTTTTGGAAACTGGGGATGCTGAGAGTAACGCCAGCAACAAAGGTGAATAACATGGATGAAATAATTTCAGACATGTGTGTTTGCATCTAAAAAAAAAGACGATTCAGCGTGAACAGGAACGGTTCTAGATATCTAGGAACATCAAAACTGAAAGAATAAAAAGTTATTCAGTGCCTTTCCCCCCTTGTATCACCTACAATGATAATCAACATGTATTAGTCACATGTTTAGGGGCTGGTTACCTGTTACGGCTCCCCTTCTAGTCCAGCTCCCTGTTAATGTGCGTAGGAAAGCTATGGAAGATGACCCCAAATGTTGGATCCCTGACACCCATGT